CTCCGATTAGCAAACACTTTTTGTGCACCCCTTGACCCAACTTACAGCGCAATAACCAGATCACAGCACTTTCTCTATTTCTTGCTAGAGCCCAAAATTGTTTCTCCTTAATGAAGAAAACGTGCTCAAGTACACGGCACTGCAGGCTTGCCCTGGTTGCACGCGTTTGTACAGGTTACAAAGGGGACTTCGTAATTTCCTGTACTTTTATGCGGGTATTCGTTTTCGTAATGTCCATTCGGAGATTTCGTGCCGAGGCCTGATCTGGGTTGTTAGCTGAGCTGGTGCCGTTTTTCCAAGAGTCAAGGTTCCAGCATTCAAAAGTTTGCAAAAAGTTCCGAATTAAAAACTGAAGTTTCTGATAGATTGCACTGTTGACCGTGTGCTTGGCTCGTCTGTTTCATTTGCCATCTTTGAAAGTGGAAGTGACTAAAGACAATTATTCAAAGAATAAAGACCAACCGACAGATTGCTTGGTACAACGAACTTGGAATTACACTACCTATGAGGTTGGCTATGCTTATTATGAATATTATATCCATTCCCCGCATAAGAAGACCTTACTGTAAGATTAAAGTTAATGAATTGTCTGAGCTGTCTGGTAACTGGTCTACTAGAATGAACTGACATGCTAGTTATTAACATTACCAGTGCTTCACCTCTCTCAGAGAGGTTCGCACTGTTTGTGTATTAAAGAATTTTTTGAAAACTCAATCTCAACTTTTGATTTTGAGGGAAGTCGTAGAGGCTGATCCCACCGTTGTGCCTCTCCATAGCAACACGAGCTCATGTTTACTTGTTACTCTGCTGTTAACATGATAACGATTGATAACTGCGTTTTGCCCTTCTTAGGGCAAATGAACTGAATTCGTGAGAGACAGAGAAATGCGCACAGTCACATATACATACAGACAAACTTAGCGCCTTAGTATAATGAACATCGTGTTTGCTCTCCATAGTGAAGCCATTTTGTATGATGAACATAGAGACATTCGAATATTCCTTTACAAGTTACCTCAGTTCTACAGTTTGTGCTTATTGTTCGGTGGGGTATGATTTCGTAATCGGCATATCAGTTAAGCCTACTGGACCATTTTCAGACAAATTCGTCCTGTCATTTCAACCTACCATAGCTTTACAGTCTCCCTATCATAGAAAATAAATATGATTTCATAAGCAGCCTGTTTACCCCAAGAGAAAACATCACAGAAATTTGCAAGCCTCTTGAAAAAAAAAATGAAAAAATTCAAAAATTGAGGTGTCGATTGCGCTTTTTTGGCTTTTCAAACTTCCAATCAACTTCTAATTTAGCAGTATCGATAAACCAAAGATACAATTTTGCAAAAGGAGACTTCTTCTATATGATATATGAAGTGCTGCCAAAACTAAATCGAACTAGCTTTGCTCTTTCAGAAATTTTATAAACGCTTAGCTTGTATGTGTGCGCAAGCTTATTTGTTAGTTAGCAATTTGCTGTCAAAACAGCTATTGATCATTATCGATGTTAACAACAGTTATGTAAACATAACTTGAAGTTGGTCATAGATTGAGATCAGAGATTTTTGGCTGCCATTATAGACGAATCGCGTTAGGTTCTGTGTAGGTAAAAGTTTTTACATCGTAATTGCGTAAAAACCTCCAACGAAGAATGTATAGGATTGTAATGAAAGACAAATGACATCGAACCAATCTGCAAAACAGAGAGAAACGCACATCAATAGATCACCCAGTAAGGTTGTTTCCACGTTCAATCGAAATTATTACTTCGAGCCAAAAATTGATAATCTTTTAGAGTTGTTCATTAAAATGGCAGAAAGGTGAAACTGCCTCGAAACTTTTCGTCTCATTCGACTGTCACTCGGCAATAGATATTTTTATTGGCACTTGTCCAAAGTCTATCAATTAAATTAAGCGACAGTGCTGAGAAAAATTTCCATTTATTCAATTTACCACTGACTAGCTTGTTTTATGGTTCATCTTAAAATTTCGATTATTGTATACTTGTAAATACGGAGAGAGTAAAGCACAGGAACGGCCTAGTTTACAAGTGGAAAAATGTACTCTTGGACCAACCAGGCTCTAATTCCTCCTCTGTCAAGGGTGCACGATTAAAAGGATTAGTCTGGCTGCTGAGCAAATGGCGTAAGATATGCTTCCGATCCATGATGTGACCAGAGGGTAAACGTACGGGGTCCTCCATGAGCGTATCCATTACAGGATCTACAGTTAAGAACAATTTCACTTGTAGAAAGCAGAGTCATTGAATGGACTGCCCGACAAATAATACTTTGCCAACCTTTGAATTCATCTGGTGCGTCTTCTAGCTCCATCTCCTCAGCTGCTTTGTTGTTATAGAGAGTTTCAACTTTTTCCGCTAATGCGCGGAATCTTGCAAATTAAATCAATACAAGAAGCAAATGCTAAAAACCAATCAAACCTTTCTATTTGACTGATGGGCACAATATTGTTGCTAACGAGTCGACGAATTACATCATTCATCATTTGGGGAGTGTACGATCTCTGAAACATTGCATGATGTTACATAGGCAAATATGATAATTGGCAATGGACGAGCTCATATGTGAGCAAGATCATTTTTTACATGCATCTTTTATTGTTTTGCCCCATTCCGTATTCAAGTCTCTCTATAGGGGGCATTTTTAACAAGGCAAACAACTTTCAAAACTTGATATTTAATTTGCCATTGTAAGATGAAAATGTTTGGGATGCTGTCCACGCCCCTTTTACACAGTTAAATAAAAGAATTACTGCAAATCTTGTTGATTTATGAAAAGCACTAGAGTTTGATTAGACTATTCACAAGTAAAAGTATTTGCCGAATTGAATTGATTTCAACACCTCCTTTTGAAATAAGATCTTTTCTCGAGGATTTGGTTAAAAGAGAGGAGGAGGCCTCCGCGCATTCGTCTAGTACATAATTTACCGTTCCCCCTCCCTTTTCTTCAAATGGTATATGGTATATAGGATGGTCGTTTGAGCAAGCCAGCCACCGCTGCACTTTGAAAGTTTTTTAAAAAAGGTGACGAAGACATAGGTACTTTACTATAACTTTAATGTGCTTTACCTCTCCTATACACTGATAAAACTTTCAGTTTCGAAAGAAAATTGTGTACCAGATGATCTCGTCAAAACAATAGT